TACAGTCATGACATCCATTAAACACAATGGTTTGTTCAGTGTTGTCTGTTTGTTGGTAAACTAAAACGAAAATGCAAATATTGCAAATACACACACATAAATCGATCGATATTTGAGTTAAGTAGAAGAATGAACAAGCGAATAGTCCGATGGTAAGGCGTTCCACCTACAATGCCAAAGGTCCCGGGTTCGAATCCTGCAGGAGTCGTGGATGCGCACTGCCATTGATGAGTCCCATATCAGGACGAAACGGCCGTCTTTCAATGCTTCCAGGTTTATATATATATATATATATTTATTTATATATATATATATATATATATATATATATATATATATATATATATATAGTCAAACAAAGTAACCAGATATTGTTTTGCTTTGAATGGAGGATATGAGTGTTAGAGACCAAGAAGTGTTTCGGTCTCACTATGATGAGACTCTTCAGTATTTTGCACACACACAAAAAACAGCATTTCACGTTGAAAGCAGTTGTGTCGATAGGCAGTGATTTATATATTTTCGAAACCATGAATCGATATTGTGCGTGAACGGCCTAACCGTTAGATCACTCATCGAGCCGGTATCTAACGGTGTTAATGTCTAACTTTCAATCAATTCACGGAGTTGCGAAACCTCATACACAGTCTTCGGTATTAGTTACTGTCTACACCCGAACAGGTTGAACTTCACTGGTCATGTCGTCCCACTAGAACTCATGGGAGAAGATTTCTCACGAAGCTAGTCACTAGTGAGCACAGGTAATTTGCATTACGGGGTTGTGAAGATTGTTATGTTACACATTTTAGAAACCATGAATTGATCAATGTTAGACCACCGTTAGAAACCTGGAAGCACTGAAAAACGGCCGTTTCGTCCTGGTATGGGACTCCTCATCAGTGGCAGTGCGCATCCACGACTCCTGTGGGATGCAGGAGTTATCATGATTGATTGATTGATGATTTCAAATGTGTAAAAAACGCAAACCTCCAAAACTCTGCCACAAAATATCTTTCTGTTAATAAATGAACACAGAGTTAATCCAAAAATCCAATATGCACTTACATTATGCAATTTGAAATAAAGTCCACATGCATTACAAACTGGTTCACCATTAGTATTTCTACGCCATAATGTAGTTGTTATAGTACGACAATTAGAACATATAGTACCAGTACGTCTGCTAGAGGATTGCTGTAAAAATTAAAAAAGAAAAGTAATCAAGGTCAGGTCAAATGGTTAAATCTCATCATCATGCTGATTACATCAAAATGATAGATAGAGCATACTACAGAGATAACTTGAATCTAGGTTATGAATAATTTAGTCAGCTGACAGTCAAGTTTATTAATCTTAAACATTGTTTAAACGTTGTTTAATAGAGAGTACTTGAAACAGATTAAAAGGATTTGACAATCTCTGAAGGATTTCACTCCATGTCACACAATTGCGCAATCAGAAGTGTACCATTGAGATATACGGGTTGCGACTGACCTCCTGTGGGATTGGAACAATACTGGATGGTAGGCAATAATTTCCTGTATGTTACAGTTCCTTGTTAGTGCCGATCGAATTCTATCGACCATCAACTTACACTTCAACATAGTGTATACAATACTGAGTCATCTAGACTAGTGAACATACTGTAACTTGATCGATGGAACTATTTCAGTACTAAAAAGGATTTAACCCCACATTACAATTGGTTACTAATCACTGGTCAATCAGACAGACAGATACAACGCAGAACTTTGTACGTAGGTACATCAGTTCACGTTGCCATACCACATTAGCACAGAGACGCAACTGTCAGTTCAATTCCCAGGAGTGATAGCAATAATAGAAGGATTAGAAGTAGTAGAGAAGAGTAGGGAGAGAAGATATAATTCGTGAAGTAAAAAACAGTAAGATAACTTTAGAAAGAGAAAGATAGTAATGATAAGGAATTTAGAAGATTAGAATTTGAGAGTACACAAATAAAGAATTCATCTGCGCCACTGCAAACGATTTTGAGCCATTTCGTTCAAGGTCTCTAACCATTGGTGACTTTGGTCTCGCGGACCACAACCAGGTAGTCTACATCTACGAAGGTAGCTCAGTCTACTTGTAAATGACTTCATGGATTTGTGCCATGTTTTGGTTTGGTCGCCTCTTGGCTTTCTTCCAATTTACTCCTACACTGCAAAACATAGCTCGTCGAGGCAGTCAATCAACTGTAAGTCAATTCATACATTCAATGGGTGCGTTAGTACAAAATGAACTTTATTAGTGTTACATACACTTCCAACAGTTCTTGCTGATTTCTTCCATTGGTGGACCTTAATGTTTTCTTTTTCGATTAAGGGAATATAGTTTAATAATTTTTATCTATGAACTCAACACCACCAATAACAACAAACTTATACGATCTGAGGAATAAATTTATTTACAAAACAAAGCATTCATCTTATCAAGAGTAACAGTAACAGTAGTAGTAGTAGTGTGAGTAGTAGTAGTAGTAGTAGTAGTAGTAGTAGTAGTAGTAGTAGTAGTAGTAGTAGTAGTAGTAGTAGTAGTAGTAGTAGTAGTAGTAGTAGTAGTAGTAGTAGTAGTAGTAGTAGTAGTAGTAGTAGTAGTAGTAGTAGTAGTAGTAGTAGTAGTAGTAGTAGTAGTAGTAGTAGTAGTAGTAGTAGTAGTAGTAGTAGTAGTAGTAGTAGTAGTAGTAGTAGTAGTAGTAGTAGTAGTAGTAGTAGTAGTAGTAGTAGTAGTAGTAGTAGTAGTAGTAGTAGTAGTAGTAGTAGTAGTAGTAGTAGTAGTAGTAGTAGTAGTAGTAGTAGTAGTAGTAGTAGTAGTAGTAGTAGTAGTAGTAGTAGTAGTAGTAGTAGTAGTAGTAGTAGTAGTAGTAGTAGTAGTAGTAGTAGTAGTAGTAGTAGTAGTAGTAGTAGTAGTAGTAGTAGTAGTAGTAGTAGTAGTAGTAGTAGTAGTAGTAGTAGTAGTAGTAGTAGTAGTAGTAGTAGTAGTAGTAGTAGTAGTAGTAGTAGTAGTAGTAGTAGTAGTAGTAGTAGTAGTAGTAGTAGTAGTAGTAGTAGTAGTAGTAGTAGTAGTAGTAGTAGTAGTAGTAGTAGTAGTAGTAGTAGTAGTAGTAGTAGTAGTAGTAGTAGTAGTAGTAGTAGTAGTAGTAGTAGTAGTAGTAGTAGTAGTAGTAGTAGTAGTAGTAGTAGTAGTAGTAGTAGTAGTAGTAGTAGTAGTAGTAGTAGTAGTAGTAGTAGTAGTAGTAGTAGTAGTAGTAGTAGTAGTAGTAGTAGTAGTAGTAGTGAACGAGAACACAGGTGGGCCAACCGAATTGTATTTAACGAAAATTACAGAGTTACTCAGTAAAATCGGAAAACCATATCGTAAACGGTTAATTTGCAAAATATCAATCCATCATATCGAACTGGACTGATCCTATTGCAAACAACATCAATCCATTGTCTGACATTTCACTGTTCATGCGTTTCATACAAATTCCATTGTGTTCCCACTCTTCTTCCTTTCTTGATCTTCCCCCATCTTCTGCTGCCAGACATTACGTTGACACTCACGTCATATACTACTTATAAGTAGCTCGCACCACAAACTGAGTTACTTTTAAATCAGCAATCGATCAATGTTATACTACCATTAGAAACCTAGAAGTAATAGATGAACGTCATGTCCTAATATTAGACTCATCAGACGTGTGCATCCACGACCCCCACGAACCCAGAACCTTCGACATTGTGGTGCTTGAACACCTGACGTCTCGTCTACTACTGAGCTAGCATCCAATGATGTTAATGAGTCCAGGTAGGAGGACAAAACGGCTGTCCAATGTATAAACAGTTACGATCAGCAACAACCTACTGTGGGATAGAACAAACTAAATTCCATTAGAGGAAGAAATCAGGAACAAGCGTTGGAAGTGGATAGGACACACATTACGAAAAGCACCTAACTGTTTCATAAGACAACCCCTCACTTGCGATCATCAAGGTCAAAGGAAAAGACGAAAGTCAAGAAACACATTATGTCCAGAAATGGAGACAAACATGAGAAGAATAAACAATAATTGGACAGAACTGGAAAGGGAAGCCCAGGACAGAGTTGGTTGGAGAAGACTGGTGGGCGGTCTATGCCTCGTTGGGGGTAACAGGTGTATGTAAGTAAGTAAGTAAGTACTAATGAAAAGAGTTCAACAACGGTGGTATACAACAATTATACAGTGTAGTACAATTTTTTTCAATAAAACAATATCTTTTCATTTAAATAAAGTCAACAATTTATCCCCCCCCCAAAAAAATAATCTATTTTCCATTCGTCATCATCACATTACGCAATCTTGGTAACAATTTGTCATAAATTCCCCTATTTTTTTTTCTTAATCAACAGTCAAACAAAAACAAGAAAAAAATAAAACGAAAAAGATCACTGTCAATGAAATTTTTACAATCCCCCCACCCCACCTCCACACAATATTGTCATCTTAGTTACTAGGCTAATTTTCTGTCTTATTTTGATCAATATACCTAAGTAGATTGTGCAATCCTTTTATTTAAAAACATTCAGGATTTGACATTAATCCTATAAATAGAACCATTTTTATTATTAATATTATTATCATTATTACTTAAAATAGTAATAATTATGATTATTATTTTCCCACTAATAATTCAGGTGAATCAAACATAAACAATACTTTGTTGAAATTGAACCAAGGCAACAAAGGCGAATCAGTAAAACGTTGATATTCTTTTGATTATCATCATGTAATGAAGATGAATAAATAAATATAAAATAGAGGCGTAAACATCATTGATTCGCAAATATTGATAAGAATGACAGTTTATATAATGGACATATATAATAGACACATGTCAAATGTTCCAATGATGCGTAATTAGTTTATGTATGGCGCGTTTTGTTTTTCGCAATGCCTACACAAGTCTCTTTTTTTTTAAAAAAAATAGTCTTGTTTGACTTTTAGTAACTGATATACACGCATGCAAATCGATGGAATGAAATTAAGCGTAAATAAATATCATTTGATTGGTTTCAATAAATTGGATTAATTTTCCATTTCGAATGATACAAATAGTTATTATTGTTGGTGTGTAGTTTCAATAGTTTAAGGAATTTGTGATCTGACTACTATTGATTTCAAATTTTATAGAGTAATATGAAATGTGTAGTAATGTGGTTTTATTGTGAAGACTGATGAAAGTATTGAAAGTGTGTTTTGACTATTATTATTATTACTACTACTACTATTACTACTACTACTAATACTACTACTACTACTACTACTACTACTACTACTACTACTACTGTGGTGCGCGCTACTTATAAGTAGTATATGATGCGAGTGTAAACGTAATGTCTGGCAGCAGAAGATGGGGGAAGATCAAGAAAGTAAGAAGAGCGGGAACACAATGGAATTTGTATGAAACGCATGAACAGTAAAATGTCAGACAATGATGGATTGATGATGGATTGAAGATTTGCAAATTAACGGTTACGATATGGTTTTCCTATTTTACTGAGTAACTCTGTAATTTTCGTTAAATAGAATCCGGTTGCCCTCACCTGTGTTCTCCTTCACTACACTACTACTACTACTACTACTACTACTACTACTACTCACACTACTACTACTACTACTACTACTACTACTACTACTACTACTACTAATACTCACACTACTACTACTACTCACACTACTACTACTATTACTCACACTACTACTTTTACTCACACTACTACTACTACTACTACTACTACTACTCACACTACTACTACTCACACTACTACTACTACTACTACTACTACTATTACTACTACTACTACTACTACTACTACTACTACTACTACTACTACTACTAGTACTACTCACACTACTACTACTACTACTCACACTACTACTACTACTGTAGTGAATGAGAACACAGGTGGAGGCAACCGAATTGTATTTAACGAAAATTACAGAGTTAGTCAGTAAAATCGGAAAACCATATCGTAAATCGTTCATTTGCAAAAGATCAGTTCATCCTATGGAACTGGACTGTTCCTGTTGCCAAACATCAATCCATTGTCACTCTTCATGCGTTTCATACAAATTCCATTGTTTTCTGACTCTTCCTTTCTTGATCTTCCCCCCATATTATGCTACCAGACTTTACGTTGACACTCACGCCATATACTACTTATAAGTAGTTCGCACCACAGCACCACACTACTACTACTACTACTACTACTACTACTACTACTACTACTAATACTAATACTACTACTACTACTACTCACACTACTACTACTAGTACTGTTACTCTTGATAAGATAAATGCTTTGTTTTGTAAATAAATTTATTCCTCAGATCGTATGAATTTGTTGTTATTGTAGTTGTTGATTTCATAGATAAAATTATTAAACTATATTCCCTTAATCGAAAAAGAAAACATTAACGTCCACCGGTGGAAGAAATCAGCAAGAACTTTTGGAAGTGGATAGAACACACATTGAGAAAATTACCCAACTACATCACAAGACAAACTCCAAATTATAATCTTCAAGTCCAGAGGAAAAGAGGAAGTCTAAAGAACACACATTACACGTTGAGAAATAGATACAGATATGAGAGGAATGAACAAAAATTAGACAGAACTAGAGATGGAAGCTTAGGACAAGAGTGGGTTGGAGAATACTGATCAGCGGCCAATCCTCCATCGAGGAGGATAACTGGCGTAAGTGAGTAAGTAATATTTCCTTAATCTAACACCATAGGATATATAAACATTCACAACTGATGATCACTCGATAAATTGCTATTATTCACATATAGGATTGGTACACACCTACTCATTGTTAGTCCAGTTTTCATCACAGACCCTGGTACCAGACTAAGAGGAGAACAGCACCTTACAATCATTAAGGTTCATTTCAGATGGTAGATAAAACTTGTAGCTCAGGTGGATGATTGTGGTGGTGTTTCATTCTCTGAGCTGGTTTTTTGGTTGTGGAGCTTTCATTGTTCTTCTGAACAACATCACCACAAGGTTTATTTCAGTTCCAACCAATCACCAATACTGAGCAATCATCAACCATTATCCCGGTAATCTATTAACATAGTTGAGCTCTATCAGTCATTGCTTCTTACCAGAACTTTCAAAACAAAAAACGATTCTTTTTTGCCCATCTAATCAAAATTAACTCACACACATATGAACATATTTTTAACCGATTCATCAATCATTCAATCAACACCTTGACATTAAAGTCTAGACCAAATATTAATCACTAGGCTGTTATGTTAAACATTTGTGAAGTCACTTATTTTATTCAGCCAGCTTTCATTTTCCTTAAACACACAACTTAATCAATCAATACTTCATTGGTTATTATGTTTAATTTACGAAATATATTGATCCTTATTTGAATTCATTAACAACATGTATTCCGCCAAATTGTATTCAATGTTTCAATGTCTTCCACCATATGGGAAAACACAATGTGATTAAATTAAATCTTCCTATTTTATTACAAGCACAAATCATATTGTATAAGTTGAAATACCATTGTATTCATTGTGAACAATGTTTGCCCGGGTGTAAATTGACATTAAAACAAATGATGTTGTTGTACATCAATAACTATTAGATTGAATATTGAACGTACAGTGGAATTGTCTTTGATTGATTGATTGATATGAAATAAGGCATCATATGGAGATATGGAGATATATATAAATATTGTTTATCACACACACACTACAGGGGTTTATGGAGATTGATAAGTTTTTTTAGTTTTACATTAAGAAGAAGGATTTCGGTGGAGAACTCTTGGAAAAAATTCAAAGGTTCTACTAAATAGTTGTTTTGTTTAACTAGTGACTGCTTAGCTGAGCACATTCCTAATCTCAATAGTGGAGAAAACAACTTCAGAACCTTGAGGTAGATATCAGGGCATAAAGTGAACTGTTCGACTGCTAAGGCAGATATCTTTTGTTTATCTAAAGTGTTACAGTTTAGCATTCAACTCGCATTTAGATTGGTAATGTGAGTTGAAGAACAGATAATCTATTCTAGGATAAATGGACTGATTTCTGCCTTTGGATGGTTATTCAACCAAGGTCATAGAAATTATAAGCTATGCTGCTTATTTTTAGACTAATTCATAGAGTATATAGACCTTTGGGATGACCTTGTAATGCTATTGTTTGTTTGTTTGTGTGTGTTTGTGTAAATAAATTTTAACATCAGAATAAGTTAGGACCCTCTGTCTCGCGCGCGGATGATCAACCTCTAGACCACTGGCCTGTTTTCTTAAGGGTGTTAATGTGTAACTCCAATGAATTCACGGTCTTGTGCAACCTTATACACACACTAGCACAATTAGATACCGGCTTAGTGGTACAGAAGTTGGGCGTTCGCGCGTAAGACCGAATCCTGTGAGGTGAATGAGCCGTGAATGCACATTGCTGATGAGTCGCATACCAGTTACGAAACTGTTGTCCAATGCTTCCAGGTTTCTAATCGTAGTATAACAATGATCGATTCATGATTTCAGTAAGTTATATAATTACAGGTATACCATAAGAGTAATGAATTTAAAGGCAAGACCTATTTAATGGTAATAATTTTGACGTTGTACACTGGAAAGACATCTGTAAGCCAATCTGAATAATGGTTGGTAGTGGAATGAAGGATAAATACTGTTTGTCCTATTCCGAGCGCATCAACTGGACATACCCATCAAATATATATATATATATATATATATATATATATATATATATATATATATAGAGAGAGAGAGAGAGAGAGAGAGAGAGAGAGAGAGATGGTGGAGAAAACTTGTAGCTCAGGTGGATGATTGTGGTGGTGTTTCGTTCTCTGAGCTGGTTGTTTTGGTTGTGGAGCTTTCATTGTTCTTCTACTGAACAACATCATCATCCGCACAAACTTCAGATAGAAGTGAAGTATTCGAATTTCTCCACATGGGTTGCAATCAAAACAAAGTTGCAAACAACGATAGGTCAAAAGACAACAACAACCAATCAAGATCGAGGTTAGCAGAACAAGCTACAAGTGAAACGTGGAGAAATTCGAATGCTTCACTTCTGTTATCTGAAGTTTGTGCTGATGATGTTGTTCAGTAGAAGAACAATGAAAGCTCCACAACCAAAACAACCAGCTCAGAGAACGAAACACCGCCACAATATATATATATATATATATATATTACTTAACTTAACTTCAAATGATTTAACTGAGTGGGAAAACCAAGGTTATTATCCACACAAGATTTAGGTATATACTAAAAGCGACTGATTAGTTAAAGTTTCTTTTAAGAGTCTCGTCATCAGTGTACATCCACGACTCCTGCACCTTGCAGGACTCGAACCCAGGACCTTCGGTCTTGCGCACGAACGTTTAACCTCTGGACCATTGAACCAGTAATCAGGTTAAACAATATATATAAGATTTATAGAGATATTATATTTACAAAAAAAGACAATTTACCAATCTTCGTTTCGGTTTAATTAATGGACGATTTTGACCATTCATTTTTTGATATAAACCACATGCATTGCATAAATAATTTCCTTGTCCATCTCGTCTCCATAATGGTGTACTAGTTGCACCACAATTAACACATTCTCTTCCCTCTGCTGAAAAGAACAAAAGAACAAAAAAAATTGAAGACATTTTTAAGAAAGAATTAAGTTTTGTTCTGTATTTTGGTTAATGTGATTGCTTGGATTAAGATGATTATGTTATAGTCTACGTAATAGAATGTTCGTTCGAAAATCATCAGTTAGCTATTTCCCGACGAGTACAGGACTTCTAAACCTACGACTTCCGCCCCCCCCCACCCACCAATAACTGTTCATTCTGAAGCTGTTTAGATGAAAAACTTTCGAAGCTAATCTGATTGTATCTTAGAATAAAAGGCACGATTTGATCTAATCAGTTAGTGCTTTGTATGACCAAGTATGAACCGAGATGTTTGTAAATGAATACAAACCAGCACTTAGATGCCACACTGTCAGATCATATCAGCAATAGGTTCTTTCCGTCATCCTCAAAGAAGATTTGAGAGTATACGACATATCCGTAATTTGGGATCACTGCCAATTCCGAATAGGCTTCAGTTACATTTTCAATTACATCGACAGATGATTCACGTGAAAGGCCTCTAGCAGTGTCTACATTTCGTGTTAAGACAATAACCGAAACCCTGATTGTGTATATAATGCTATTGATCGAATCTACTTTCGATAGAAAATTTATTTATTTCGTGTTGACAATGAAAGCTAGTAGTAAATTTTTGTTTTATTAAAACAACACGATCTATTTTTTTTTAACTTTCAGTTAATTCATTTACACGATTATATAAATTCACCTTGAGTTGGCAAGGGTAATTTAACATTGGTTTACAGGAGAACCAAGGAGACTGCCCACACTTTAACACTGAAACGTGAACAGAACAGTACAGCACAGCTCAGTCCTGTGGCGCAACTACGACACAGGTGCCTGACACCCTGGTGGATCATTTACACTATTGATATACACTTGTACATGTATATATAGATAGATAGTTGCGATCCATGATTGTGTCAATCAATATGCACAGTATGAACAGGCCAATTTGACTTATTCCGCTTATATGACTGTCAAACTCATTATTATTATTATTATTATTATTAGTAGTAGTAGTAGTAGTAGTAGTAGTAATAATAGTTCTTGTCTATCATAGAAGAAGATATCGAATGGAAGTACTGCGTATATTTGACTTTATTGATTGTGAGGTTGAAAGAAAGCTAGGAGTGACC